ACCCTGTGAGTTGACACTGTCAAAAGCTTTCAGTCTTCTCCTGTGAACTAACTGCTGGTGATGGAAATGAGGGCATTAAAGGATAAGGCCGGTCATTTTCTATGTTAACAGTATTTTCAGCAGCCCCCATACAGAAACTAAAACCAACAATGATTTGCCTCTACTCACACTTAATGTCTATCAGTCCTGGATCTGCTTATTTGGCTGTGCCATAGACCTCCACTGTCAAAAACAGTTAAAAACACATCAGGGAAACACACTGCTGCACTGGGTGACATTTCCTTATTCCAAAAAGCAAGACCCTAATATTCATCTGTAGCTTTTTTTTCCATGTATCCTTTTACCAGCATGTTCCTGCTACAACCAACCTTTGTTCCCAGTGTGAATCACTGAACATCCATCCAGTCTAATCCAATCTTTCCGGGCATCCATCTATCTATCCATGCTAGCCTGCTCTTTGTCAGCCCTCCCCTTCTGTTTCAGTCTTTCACCCTTTTTCTTATCTTCACCCCCCGTCTTCTGTACTCACTGCTCCATCTCTCCTTATTATCCTCTGCACTTATCCAGTACTCTCATCAGTCTCTCTCACACACAGCTCCTGTTTTATTTTGACATACACTTAAGGGAATCACTTTCTCAGTCCATTACAGTATAGCTTCCCCCACCCTTCCCTCGACATCACCACCACCTACCCCACTCCCATCTTTCACACACATAGGTTTTATTTAAACTGCTCCTCGGACATCGGTTGACAGAAAAGAACAGTTGGATGATTTTAATGCTGTTTTGCTGCATTTCTGTTGGTTTCAGAGGAGTGTTTTACTGTTTTAACTAGTGTTCATTTTGTCAGCTATTTTCAGATTTACTTTTGGTTCCTGTGTGGTGCTCCTCGCGGTGTCTCTTCAGGTTTGTAAGGTTTTTCTCAGCTAATTTGTAGCTGCAGGACCTCTCTCCTACACACTAAAGGGCAAACTGTACTTAGGGTGTCCACCACCATCCAGTGACATCATTTTTCCCAGGTTCATGAGGAACTGTGCTGATTCTGTGCAGAAGTCTGCACGCAAGGCCAAAAATTTGTGTGTGTGTGGACTGACCACTCAACAAAAAGCCCCAGCTGTACCTCAGTGCTTGGAAAACTTAGACATAGGTAGAGAGAAGGCAGAAGTACGAACTGGAGCCCGTGAGCATCCCTGGACCTTCTCTCTCTTCCATAGAATATTTGTAGCAGGACCAAATGTCCACCTGTTCTCTTTGTCCAACCCTGATGCTGCCATCATGTACCTGTGTCACTGTCTGACAGTGGCTGAGCTCTACAGGCACAGCATGCAGGTTACTCCAGGCTTTAGTGCTGTTGGTGAGATGATGCAGCAAATTCTCTGGGAGGAAAATTTGGGTGTGCAGGAAGAGGAATGTGCAGTTTAATAATTTCATGTTAAAGCGTTTATGTTTAAATTCTTGTCATGCAGTATTGTTTTATTCCACTTTGAGCATGTCTCGTCATCCTCATTGTGAAAAAGGTTTTTGATTGTTATGGTTAGTCAGAACTGAGGTTGGACTCAAGACTGCTGACCCAGGTGCTAGTAAAAATGATGGTTTAATGGTGGGGATACAAAAGGAATAGAGTCAATGAATACATACAACAGGGCTGAGCAAAGACAGCTGAGGAGAACATGACGACCAAGGGAGTAGACAGGCTAAGGGCAGGAACCAGGAGAGGAGGATCAGAATGGACAAGGGAACAGACAAGCCAACCAGGAGGGTAGGCCAATGAAAACAGGAACTGTCAGCGAGGATAACAAAAAGAAGGTCTAGCTAACCACATGGACAAAAACAAACTCAGAGATCCACAGCACAGGAACTGTCAGCGTGGAAAATAAACTGACGTATAATACATACCACAAAATTATGTCTGTTACAGGGTATGCGAGGTGAGTTGAGTTGAGTTAGGTAATGTAATGTAATGTAATGTAATGTAATGTAATGTAATGTAATGTAATGCGAGTTCAGATAATTCAATGCTCCGGCAACGACGGAGCGTCTGCCAGAGGAATAAGTAAGGAGGCAGGTAATCATCGGGATGCACCCCAGGTGTGCACACCGACAAACGAGTCGCTAATTACTGAATGCGACACAGCTGAGGTGCAGATCCCACAGGATCGAGAGAGCAGAGGAGAGAAAGACGGAAGAGAGGCAGGTCGCGCTGAGCGGACCTGACATTGATGAATAAAATTGGTTACAATTTTATTTGATGAAACTAACACTAGGTGTAAGTGCTCGGCGATTTCAAGCACAAAGGTCTGACAGAAAAATATGAATTTAAAAACGAGATTTTAAATAGATGTGACTCCATTCTTATCTTTACTGTAAAGCCATTTTCAGCTAGGCTGCAGCTATTGAACCCATTAACTTCTATGTGTTGCACCATGTTCCTGTGTCTGGGGTGTTGTATGTCTCAGGAAATACTTTATGACTTCTACAGGTGAACGTAACATTTTATTAACATAGTTGGTGTTCTATAAAGTACAACACGTTACATGCACCCAGACCTACTGCTCGTCAGTTCCTGGTAGTTGATCCCATGCTCTTAAAGAGCCCAACACATTTAAAGTATAACACATTAGAATACACAATGTATTTATGAACAGATCATTTATCATAATGATAATGATCTATATGGGGGTTAGCAGATCATGGCCTTCAGGTAGCGGTGTACTAAAATGAGCACAGTGTAAGGTGGCATATGCCTTTGCTGCACCGAAATTAAGAGTAGTTCAACTTGGGCGCGGCGCTCTGTGACGAGACCTTGATTTGTCCAGTGAACCTGACAAACCACAAAGAAAATGGAGGAGAAGCTGATTTTGGCAACACACACCTTCTTCTTCTTTGCTGCAGCTCATCTCCTCGTCCTCATTAATACAAAACCAAGTTAATATCTGCTAACCACCTCATGGAAAGCTTTTTGGTCACCTAGCAACTGGTGCCCAACATGTGCTTGATTTTCATGTGTGTACCTTCCTTCCCTGTGCTGCACCCAACCCCCGCAGCGAGCACAGCACATACCGCCTCCTATCTGAAGGAGGGTCCCAATAGATCTTCAGGGTGGACTTAATTCTTGGACCTGGTGGACCTGGCGGACCTGGCCTTGTTACAGACACACAAATGATGGGTTGAAATTCAGAGCTTTCACAAAAAGACATGGTGTGTAACCTTAAGGCAACATGGATTTTTTTTTTAATCCTGCATTGTTCACATCCATGTCCACCAGCTTGCTGTCTTCCTCCTCTGGCTTTGTTGGCACATTGCCATGCATCATTGCACCACATTACCTCCACCAACTGTGCATCAATGAAATGAACACTGTAAAACCTGTGGCAGGAATGTAAATTGTGTTTGTCATGTATGTGCGTGTACATGCACATGCCAACTAAAATGTAAAAAACATTATTCTTTAGTGATGCAGGACAAAAACTGTGCACATTTTTTGAACAGTCCCTCCTGGCTTGTGTTAAGTAATGCTGTTTTCATCTATCTATTCCTGTGAGACAAGCTGGCCTGAAGTGACCTCAGCCTTCCTTTACCACCTTCCCCCCTCTCCACTCAGCAATGCATTATCTGACCTAACCAAGCACACAAGCCCTGATTCATTTTTCTCCTTTCCTCTCTCTGCTAAACCTCCCTCACCACCTCCTCCACCCCCATGCCTGCCTGTAATTGTTGATTGCCCTTTCTGGTTTATGCCTGCAGCGAGCTCACGTAGGCGCCCACACAAACACGCATACACACTGAATCTTTATCTTTTTATAGCTCTGTCTTGTTAGGCAGGGGAAGCGGATTTCTCCCCACTGAACACTAAGTATCTCCTGCAGGAGACTGTTTTGTGTTATATAACAAGGGACCTAAAAGTATGGCACAGATGTATGAAATCTAGTTCCACCTCCAGTTGTATTACTGATGTTCTCTAAAAATGAAATACAAGATTGTTAATGTTAATGTGCTTTTAGATTTCTCTGCAAGACAGTTACAAAACCATCAAGAGGAAGATGCCGGTTTGGTCTGGTTTTCTTTGGAACGTTATGTCCCCAAAAGCAAAAAGGTGTATTTTCATCTGCAGGACTGAGATGAACAAACACTCCTCCTACATGTGTAAAACCCTGACATCCACTAAAACAAGACTAGGCCAGCCAGCACACACAAACAGTGCACATACAGTAAATATACAGGTCTGTACAGTATGTGCTGGCATTTCTACAGGGAAACACTAAGCATACTGTATGCTATCTGTCACTATCAATAAACAGATTGGGTGTAAACTAGCTGCTCCAAATTCATACATTCATCACTAGTCCTAAAAATAAAATCCCTGTTTAGTCAGAGCTACAATTGATATTAAAGCTTTAAAGAGTAACACCCCATATTAGCTTGTTTTTGCTGACGTCCAGTAGCTAATTTCTCACCTTGTTGTGCTGTAAAGGTGTGCTCCAAGACCCCGTGACATCATTGTCGGGTGTAATCACAGGCGGCACCGAGCGCGCTGCACAACCATGGCCAGCAGTGAGTTGAAACAAGTATGAAACTTTCAACCAGAGGGGGCAGTGAAACATTGCTTTTTAAGTTAATAGAGTTGTAATGGTACTTATTCAGTCTCTGTGGCAGTGACTCCCCACAGGCAAAATGAATATGTCCTATTTTAACCTGAACGAAGCCTGTGGAGAAACGTTGCCTGAAGGACAAACTCCAAAAAAAAACAACAGTTAGGAGCTGGAAGGAGAAGCATTACCACAAGGAGACGACGAGATGAACATAACGCAACATTTCACAGGTCCATGGGAGGAGGGATAATGAAAGCCGCAGTGCTGCCACATAACAATACTGCATGACAAGTAAAAGTTGTGCATCAAAGATGTTAGCACAATGTACTTTAAGTATTAGAAGTGAAAACAGACTACTTATAATTCAGACAAATGCCCTCATGAAGGTGTAAAATTAGTACAATACTTTGCTAGTTTATTTCATATTTCTACATTCAGCAAACACCATTAACTACATGTTCACGTTCACAAATCACACTGGCTCAATGTCGTGACTCAACAAAAGAGACGCATGCAGAACAGGAGTCCAGGGGTTGCTGTCTGCTCAGATAGGCCTGTAATAACAGGAAGACAGAGGCATCTGAAAACTGAAGAGCAGAGGTCACAGCCAAAAAGTAAGTTTTTAAGGTTAAAGGGAGAATATTGTTGTACATTTTATGGATATGGGTGAAATCAAGCTATAGTAATTTAAGTTCCCTTGTAGTTATTCGTGGCAGCTTTAGTTTTTCTGTTCACAAAATCATTGTTGTTAAACTTTGTTAAAATCCCAAAGATTTGAAGTTCTAACAGCAAGTGCTGTAGTAGAACACCAAGCTAGTAAATGACCTTGGCTCGCTATCCCAGAAACTTAGATTTTAACAGCATTGTGATAGGTGTGTTTGAGTGCGTACATTGGCACAGTATGTGAGTACATCATAGCAAATGGTTGTCGTCCCATTTTGTGACTGCAAAGTCTGACAAATAGGAATATTAATAATGATTAGTTTTTAAATGATTTCTTTAGGCAGCAGTTCAGGCGAGCCAGTCTTCTCTGACCACTGATCACTCTCCCTGCTGTCACTTGTCATTTCAGCGCTGCCAGTTGCAGCCCTCCTCCACCCTGTTCACCACCAGTTCATCAGATCAGTGATCCAGGGGTCCAGCATCAGGCTCACCAGATTCCTGCTCCAGCTTCTTCTTCAGCACCACCACGCACCTCCATCACAGGTCCTTCACCATCATCAGCTCCTTGTAGCATCATGTCACCATGCTTCTCTGACTGGCTCATTAGTCTCCTGCCCTCTCTCATCCTCTCCATCCTCATTGTCATCCATCTCTGACCTCCACCACCACCAATGTCTAGACTCTGTGGGATTATTCCCAGTTCCATGCAGAGGTGGCCTTCTTTAAGCTGTCTGCACAATGGAGTCTATGCACAAGATCTTTCTTCCTCTGTTCATGTACTTTATTGGCAATAAACATTTGAACATTGCTGATTGAAACTGTTTTAACCAGAAAAGGGCACATCCTGGCCTTGGTCCCTGTTTTGGTTGAAGCTGTGTAAACTATGTGGCAAGACACAGAGAAAAGAAAATGACAAAGTTGTTCCCTCAAATGCTTCTTTAATACTCAGTATTTGTTTTATATGAATTGTGGCTGTGTCTTGATTTGATTATTCTGGTTTATGTTTCTAAGCCACAGCTTTGTAGTGTCTGTGTCTATTAAAATTACTGATATCTACACTAAATTCAACATTTTTGCTTGAGCTAGAAGGTTACAGCTGTAGACTGTGATGTCTTCTCTACACTGTTTTAGGGAATTTGTGTTTATTTCAAGAAAAACAAATTATTAAAAGTATGTATACTGCTTTTGGGAAGTGTGCAGTTATTGAAAAATGGCACAATGTGGAGACGAATACTGATAACGACTTTATGCATGGAGGAATTGAATTATACATCACTGAATGGTAATAATATGTAAGAATGGTGCTGCATACAAAACCAAATATGAGCTGGACAACGTGAACCTGTCCAGCTGGTAACATGGCACAGTGACACGGTTGTGTTTGAAATCACACTGGAACCGCACATGGAATGACAATATAAATGTTTAGAACATTCATATTTGCATCAGAAATTTCCATAATGGGGTTTTCTTTATGGACCAACACAGGTTTGATCACAAACATCAGAATCCATCAACATGGATCCAAGTTGCCTGCAGCTGCTGCTCTATTTTTACAGCCACCTTTTGACGCTGTTGACAGAACGACACAAGTTGCTTCTTTAAATCAAAAAGTTAATCAAGTGAGTTCTGTATTTTCCTCTCTCGCTGTCCTCCCCTCCTCTTCCCACATTGATCTGCCTCTCCTCCCCACCCCCTTGGGAAAGATGGCGGGGGAGTGTAGATTATAGCTTATCCCTGCTCGGCTCAGCTCTGCATTGCCTCATTCTGACAGCAAAGCCCTTTCACCTACATTCACTGAGTGTCTGCCTGCCCAGCCACACACACACACACAGTCTGCCTGTCTGGTCTTGTCATGCAGAGTGCAGCAGAGCTCTGCAGTCCGACATGGCTCCCAACAGGAGGGAAGTATTTACCATCTGCCTACATTTACATACAACTTTTCTTCGTTCTCTCATTCAGCCTCTCTCTCTCTCTCTCTCTCTCTCTCTCTCTCTAAAACAGATACAGGAGCAGCAAAACAGAGCAGAGTGCAGTAGGACAGGAGCTGCAGAGAGTACAGTTATTATTTACCAGTTACTGTACAACATGACTTCTTTACCCAAAATGGATTTACAGGGGAACGCCTAAGTCTTAACACACACTAGATTAATCCCATTTAAATTTAATCAGTATGCATACATGTAGAATGGTCAGTGTAACAGGTGAATGTCTAGTCAACAGTATCTACTATGAACCGTTTTAACCTAACACAGCAAGTGGCGCCTTTGGAACCTCTTCGGAAACAAGCAACATGGATGCACCATCTCTTTAACTTTATTCAGAATCAAACATGTGTTGCTACAGTAATAAACTTTTTGAAATTAGAAAATGGCATCATAATTTTAGAGAATAACAATAATAATAATACTTATGTAAGAATGCTGTTCATGGACTTCAGCCCCTCCAAGTTAACCACCAGTGCTTTTTCTCTGGAGTTGGCGAAAACCAGAACAGAAATAAAAAGAAAATTAATACTGCATTCATCCTCCATGTCAACTTAAATGCTAATGTTGCTGCATTTGGTGAATGTGTTACAGTAAAAAGGCAGATGCTTGGTAACTTTTCAGCTTGTAATCAAGTTGAGTGAATTAAAATGCCCAACCTGCTTGAAAATAACTCATATGCACAAAAAACAGACATCTGTGACGGTTTTGACAAATGCTAATGCTCTGGTGCAAACATTTACTAATTATGGCCACATGTCAGTAATATGCATGGACAGGCTGAACACGTTTATGAGCAACCATCTAAATACTGAGACGTACCTGTGGGTGAACAACTTGTCAGGTTTCATGTCCTGTACAAAACAGGACAGTGCAGTCTGGAGTATATCATTGTCTCTTGTCTTCCAGCAGAGCAGCTCATTGTTAGCTCTCTCTTCATTAGGGTGCCACAGGGTCAGCTGGGACTGAAATTAAACCATGCTGATCTGTTCATCCTGCACGTCTCTCTTGTTCTCTCTCTCTCACACACACACACAATTATTTTATTCTGCTCAATTTTGCTGTCAGCAACTCAGTGACTGTTTGTAGTAGCTTCCGGCTCATATCTGTTTTCACCCTCATTCACTCTCTAATTTTTTTCACTGCAAATTGTACAATGGCATCTTATCAATTTACTAATAAGAATACATCACACAAACCAAAGAATATACAGTATATGGAAAGATCACATTACCAAATAAGTACCAAGTAAATTCAGTTCTTCATACATGTGAAAAGGAGTAGCATTAATATACTAGTAGCAAGCAGAAATAGTGGAAAGTAACTGTCACTGAAGTAGTAGATTGTTAAATCTGTAACAGAAATGTTTCTAACATTAAGACACCAAAGTGTATGGTGACAAATAATCATCAGTGACTGTGCTGTTGGCGGGCTGGCTTCAGTACAGATCCACCAAGTCCAAGGCCTCATTTCATCAGCAACCATTTCCAGGAGCTGTATGACAAACTGTCAGGTTTGCTCGGCCGCTCTGGCCTCCCTCACCTTTCCTACTGTCTCTTGCCCATTTACACTAATCACGTTCACCTGTTCCTCACTCCCTTATCACCAGCTGCACTTGATTAGGTCACTCACTATATTACCCGGTTTCACTCCTCAGTCACTTGACAGTTCTTTCTAGTTACTAGGCCGTGCATTGTCATTGTTTTTGTATGTATTTATCCCCTAGCCAGCCAGCTACTGTTTTGTGTTCTATGTACTGTTCCTCCAGACCGTAGCTCCACTCTCTCCTCCCAAGCAGGTCAATGCACAGTCGCCTATCTTTTCCACTATTGCCTTCATCTCTCTGTCTCTACCTTCAGTAACCACCATCACCACCAACCAGCCAAGGAGTGACCCAGCCTATGCAGCTTGGCCCAGCTCTCCATCTCCTCGCCTCCTGCTGTTGGTCAAACACCCGGCTACTACTCATCTACAGGACTACGTACTATTTCCCTCTGTGTATCGTTACTCCCTTCATCACTGTATATAATAAATCACTGCATGCACCGAAGTCTGCTACCTGGGTCCGCCTCTTTCTCGTTCGCTCACTGACTGGTGCGAACGGCTCCTAACACAAACTACTGAAACATCACTATCATCAGCCATTATATTTGGAAGTAGATGTCAGCCAGAATGATTTGACCTGTTAGCAGCAATGTTATTGTTTGAAAATTCACACCATTTTTATGCTTGCTAGTGGGGACATTTTTTATGTCTCATTTAACTCTGGATTCTTGGCAAGTCTTGGATTTGGCTGTCCAAATACCAAACAGGGCCACGTCGATATAGCAGCTTGTCATTATCTTAGTACAGGTTGGAGATAATGCACAATAAAAAGGTCCTACTTTTTTTTTATAAGCTCATTGGCTTTATTACTGAGAAGATCATTACCCCTCTGTCCAACAAGCAAACAGAAAAAGTAATGGCACTGTTTACAGTTTCCTGACTTTCTGCATAAATTGGTCATGAACTGTGATCTGATCTTCACCAAAGTCACAAATATCAACAAACACAGTATTTCTAAGCTGTTTTAGAAGTGCACTGTCTTGTCTGTACGGTAGATGTAAATTTCAGTATTGATGACATGTTTCAATATTGTCTTTCTTAAAACAGTGTTATCTGACTTGTGGTGTTTTTTAAACGTTAGCTTTTAATAATCTGCACTGGAAACTTGTGAAGCAATAAAAATCTACTGATTGGCCATACAGAAGGATGTCGTAGAGGATAACATTTTAAAAAAGAATATTGTTGTTTTTTGTTGTTCCCCTTCCCCTGGCGGTTGTGGGGGGGGGGCACCACTACGAAGCACCCATGCGTGTTACAGATCTCAACTTTGAATGGGGTTGTCTTACAAAACCTGAAAGTTCACACCAAAGTTTCATTTCATCTCTCAGTATTCGGTGAAATATTTCAGTCTGCAACCGCGCAGCCAGAATGGCTATAATGCCAGATGTTACCACCTCTCTAGGGATTTCACTTGGATCGCTGCTGTAAATGCCAAGGTTGTTTGTGAACACATCTTTGTTAATTGTATGAGTCGTGTTGACATTGTTGCAGATTTTACTACATAGATTATTCAACAAGTGTGGAATACACAAAAAGCCTGGCATTCGTTGATGTTGCCTCATCCTTCCTTCCTCTTTAAAAAAAGTAATAATTAAGAAACAACAGCAAATGGAGGTCAAGCTAACAAGTCACTGCACACTGCTCATGGTGCGAAGGGTTGGCAAAAACTGAATATAAAATCCTATTTGCTTAATGTTCTGACAATAAATATTTACTCTACTGTTAGAAATTCAAAAGAACTCAGACATAGCATAAACTGCCACATTCTTATTGCACCTTTATGTTTTCTGAGATTAATTCTTAAGTTGGCCAAAGCTGGCAAGCATGTAGGTAAGTGCTTTACCTGGTAAATAAATGAAATTCTAACTCTGCTTTTGCATTTGCTCTGTTTCTAAGGATTCTGTCTCTGATTATTTCGTATTAAGTTTCAAGGTTTTAACAGTAGTTACACACATTGCATGTATTAGTGCTGTGCTGTTAATGCAGATGTTTTTAAAATCATCCTGGAGCCAGATGTGGCAAAAAGACTAAATTTGAACTGTACTTATACTGTACACATTTCTCATCCTTCTGATTCCCTAAAAATAGCAGCCTCATTCACAGCAAAGGTTGTTATAATGTTTCCAAGGAAACTCGGGATATGTCTGTTATTGGCTCAGCTGTATCCAGGCAGCCTATAATACCACAGATACACACACACACACACACACACACACACAAGAAATGTAATAATGCTCTCCCTCTTACACAGACATGGTGCATATGCTCTGGGGGGTGCAGCAAATCAACACAATGTGCAGGTCTATTCAGTTAAAAAGACATTTTAAGTAACTATAAATATCTCCACTGTCACAGTACATGTTATCAGAGTCAAATATTAAACTAAATCTGTGGTTTAAAAAATCTGAATTTACAGTATGAGTATTGCCAAACATGAGAAATGTTCATCACATTTTAATAAACCATGTGATGAACAGCACTGGATTGTAAAAGATGTTACAAACCTAATGTGACTGAATCTTCACAGTGACTAATGTGTGTTGTAGGCTGACACTGAGGGCAAACACTTGGTGGATATGTTTTGGTGTAGAGTGATTTGTGTTGCTTGAATTAAAGTGCACGAGTGCCACAGATTGCATACCCTGATATTAGAACACACTAGGAGGGGTTTACATGTGTTTTGTTTTTTTAGCAAATTAGAACCAAGTCTGTGATACAAAGCAGTCGATCATGAGCAGTTTTCTGTTGCACATTATTCAAATATGGATAATCACCTTTATTTGGCCAAGTATGTTACACACACAGGGAATTTGTTTCCAGTAAAGAACCAGCCATCTGCGGAGCCAACTCACATTGACAGCTCTAACCATCGGTGGCAACCTGGGGGCTCAGTATCTTGCCCAAGGACACTTCAAAATGTGGACTGCAGGCACCAAGATTCGAACATTATTCAAATAAGGAAATGGTGATGTTGGACTGATCAGTGGTGGTTAATTGTCAACACAAAACTCATTCACAGCCAGCAACCACTGAAAAGGCGTTTCTTTCTGGATTTCTAGGTAAAAATCACCAAGTTAACCTGTTTGGAGTCTCAAAACATATATAGGACACATAAGTCTTATAAATCATTCAAAGGGTTATAATGTATTTCTTATCATTAAAAACTGTTTATAAAACACTGTCCAAGAAAAGAAACACAAAGTGTTCCACATTAAACTTGAAATTAAAATAATGCATCCAGATGAAATATCCAAGTCAGAGGTGGAGGCCAGGAGGGGCCTGATAATATTTTCACATCAGAAGAGTTTATCATCATCATTTCCAAGGTGCCATTGTGTGTCACATGCTAGGAATTTATTTGAACGCAATATCAGGGTGCCTGTCGTCATCAGCCGTCTTATCACCTGGGTTTGGAATGTAGCGTGAGTTAAACATCTGAATCTTGTTGTTACCCTTTTAGCAACCTGATATACCTCAACTCATTATGGCTGTTTGTACTGAAAAAATACTGGAGCAATTCTACACTCAGTAGTAAAATAGTGAGTAATAATGATAATTTGTACATATAAAAGATGCTATTAGATGTTATTATTTAACCAGAACATATATAGTTATGGTCAGATGATGTCAACTTCTTTAAGCAAGTTGTGAGCTTCTCATTTTAGATGTTTACAGATGTTTTATGTCTTCTCCCCCAGCCAACGTGACTGAAATTTAGCCTTGATACTAACTAGAAACAAGAAGTCATTTTCACAATCAGGCCTGGACTTTGTCCACTGTCGCCCTTTCACACATATAGCACACAAGAGGAGGTAGTCTGTGTCAGACGCGTCCTCACCTACTAGAACTACCCCATTTGGTTTATGCACAGGGGGGTGCACCCGGGCAGAGCTCACTGGAGGCGAGACATGATGTAGTTACATAGGCAGTTTGTAATTTGGTCATAAACAGCTGAGTCTCCTTGTGTCACCAGTTTGACATTTTTACTGTTGTCTTCATCATAAATGATGATTTTTCTTCACCACTGGATGTTTGTTTCTTTCCTGTTTCACACAGGTCACAGGATAAAATGTCATCAACACGCCCACTAACTCTGTGTGAATACTCCAGACTACACACCGCTGATTTCTCACATGGACACATCCAGTTCACCTAGACATTACATGGACTTTGTACTGGGGGGGTGTGTGAGGGTAGAGCCGCTAAAGTCCAGATCGAATGACTCAGACATTTGCATTCTCACACACGGCTCACCTGGGTAAAGTCTAGACAATTTCAGGGTTCCAGTGCATGTCTGAAAGGGGCTAGAGACTGGATGGATTAATGAAACCTTTCAGGGCTGAGTGAATATCTGTAATCAGTTCAATCCATAACAGACTT